GCAAGACGTAAATTTGTGAGGTCAGAGGAATGACTGACGATTATGTGAGTGACTCATAAAGTGAAATGATGGAAAGACTGAGCTGGATGAGAGTAAAAAAAAAAAAGAAAAATGTTTTCCAGGGCAATAAAGCTCTGTCTACACAGTACGACAAATGATTTAAAAGTAGAGCCACCAATCAGTTGCTCTGACTAGCCAGCTACTGATAATTTTCCCTCACTGAATCGACTGGTCTCCCTGATGTAATTAGCATGATCCATGTTAAGAGAAAGTTTCATCAACTATGTAATAACTTCATACACTAAGTAAGTGGATGCAAACAAATTCAAGTGCTGCTTTCAAAAATTTTCAGGGATAAAACCGATTATTCAAGTATAAACTTAATGAAAGATTAATAATGGCCAAACGGTATTAGGATTAGGCCCCAAAGCAAAGTCAAACACCACTGTGGGCCAGGGGCTGACAACGTTCCCAAGTGCACACGGGCACAGGACTGCCCACACCGACGCTGGCGGGCCCCATGCCGGCTGGGTGGGCGGTGGGCTCTGAACTGGCCTTGGGGAAGAGGTCTGCCCAGTTTTATGCAACATGACATTAGATGCTGGGGGCGGGGGGTTCCTTGACAATTCCAGTTCTGAGTTAAAAATTACTGGCCCTATGTGCAAAATGTTATTTTAAAGATGATTTCCTCCAAAGTACTACATTAAGGAGTTTTACAAAACACTGAAAAGTTCCTGAATCAAGAAGTGGCATCAGTAAATCCAGCATATTTTAGTTCTGTTGCATGATTCAGGAGAGCATGAAGGTCTACGGTTTAAAACTGTCAATTAAAAAAGCCTCTTTTAAAATATCATTACTGTCTTAGGGCTTCCCATTAATTGGCTGATGGAACTTGGCACTTCAATTCCTGTTCATGAAAAGTGACCCAGAATTTTGTTGCTGCAATTATGAAGCATTTTGACAGCGCACAGGGCACCATAGATCTAAAGATCTAAAAATGAACTTGCAGCAAATTAAAAACATTTTTTTTGTTAAATTGGTTAGAAATCATGGTTTTAATCTCACCGTCTACTGATGATATATCCTAATCTTACTATCTAAAATGTTCAACATAATAGAAGCAATAAATGGAAGGTTCGAAATTTTTAAAATTAAACTTCTGAATCCTTTTGAAGCCAAAAATATTCTAGCATATTCGTAACTGATTATACACTAAATAATAACAGATAATAGTTATTTCTGATGGTACAGACCATCAAATTAAACTTGATCTATGCTACTGGACATCCTTCTAGATTTGGAAAGTAAATCATTTTCCTATATGCTAAGAGAATCCTGAAAGACAAACTGGGAAGTATGGAGTTCTCAGTTCTATTTAGTCACTTTCCTCATTATGCCTAATGAATCTTCATCACAACAGATCTCCCACTTTCCATTCTCTTACATGAAAAACATGGAGGCTCCTGAAAAATGTAATACCCTTCTAATATTTTTTAGACTTTCATTTGCTCATAAAACAGGACAAATGCCCCAGAATTCCATTAACATCTCTTGCAAATCGGATAATCAAATTGCCAGGATTTCTATTACTGGAAGTCAAGACAAGCAACTCTGCTGTCAAGAGAAATTTGCAGAGATTGTTTCTTTTAGTTCTAGGCTAACTTCTACCTGCCCATGTCCCTTTTCTAAAGCTATGAAGTATACGGTTTAACTCCTGAATAAATTTATTGCCTGGACCATTTTTTTTTAATCATAATACCACAGGAATTAAAACAAGTATCTTAAACATACCTCAAATCATTAAAAAAATTTTGATAAACTAAGCTAACTGAAGGCAGGTATATAGTTAACAGCTTGACTCTTGAAGGTATATTCCATTTCTTCTATTAAAAAATATTAACTGTTAAGAGGTAGAAAATCTCTTGAAGGCAAACAGTAAAACTGTCCCTTTAAAATTAGCCCCTTTAAAACAAATTTAAATAATGAAGATTTTTATAGTTTCACACTATCTTGCTTGTCACTGTCACTGAACTTCCATTACAGAGTCAGGAGGAATGTTTACAGCTGAGTGAGGTTACAGATGAGAGCCAGCCTGAGTCTGTGGCTGTCATTTCCTGAATGTTCTAAAGCAGGGACCTAGCACAGATCTGTTTGGGGATTTCCAATAACTTTTCTCTGGAAAGAATGGATTCTCTCATGACTCACACAGGTTCATACAGAGCCATCTGGATGTGCAGGGGGCTCATCTGTTTCATAAATAATATACTATGCACCTGTATCTTACACTCTAAGGGCCCATGAATCACGTTCTCGGTATGTTCTAAAAGAACGAGTGAAAAAGTGCTAAAAGAAATTATATAACCTCTTCTGCAACTCAATTTTCGAATATAAAAGATGTATATAACAATGAACAAATGCCTTTTTGAGCTGGGAGGCTGACATGACAATTAGTGCGGTGTCATCCGAATCTAACCTGCCCAGTTTAACGCGATGCCATAAAAATACAGACATTTCGGTTTGACGGCTCCAGGAAAGCAATGGAGTAGTTACCGAAAGGAAATTTTCATTGCTATACCTCCCGGAGTTCAATTTAGAAGGCCTCCTAGACCTATTTTCTTCCTTGAGAACAGAAAAGAAATAAATACAAGACTTAAAGAGAACTTACAAAATTAAATGTGGTTTCTTTTCCTTTAGATATTTAAGAATAGGGGCAATGGATGACCTTGAGAAGGACACCAGCCCACTTAAAAGGTCTCAATCGCCTCAGACACAGAGGCATCTGGGAACTGTGGGCACAACGGGAGGCAGGCACTTCAAGCATCATAAACGGGTAACGAGGAAGGAGGTTACTTTAAAAGGAACTACATTTTTCAGCTGCTCTGCTGAGAACTTATCCTGACTGTGGCTGACAAGCAGGTGATGGAGATTTTGTGTGGAACCAGAAGAGCTTGCAATAGGTACTTCTCCCCAATCACTTCTTACAGAGAGTTTAAAATGAAGGACACTTAATCATACTTACATTATGTTCTTTTAATCACCAAATGATAGTTAATTAGTTATCACAGAATCAGAAAAACACTTATGTGGAAAAGAGTTGGAGACCAGTGGTTCCCAGGATTGGACACCTGCAAAGAGCTTATTTCAATTTCTCCAAATCAATACACACTTGCAGCCAATTAATAATTTTTCTCTTCTGTTCAGTCCTAAAAGTTGTTAAAAATGGCCCTGCGTCATTTGGGAATCATAAGATTTTTAGAGATGGGCTATGACTCAATTCCTTTGAAATGTAGCCTTTTCTCAGCAAGAAATAATAAATATGAAATGTGTATCAGAATCATTGCTTAGGTTAAAAATCCAAAATGTGTTCAAAATAAAGCACTGCTTCTGACTTTAATATTCATCTTTGCATTTGAGAAGCAAACAAAATAAATGAAAACATCTTTTCCCTGTTTTCATTGAGTATGGATTATGGATCTGAGATAGCAATTTTTTCTTGCTGTTGCTAAGTATTAAAAAGATACTACATGAGAAACAGTGACATGGCAATTTTTTAGACAGACTGAGGAAAATGAGGGGAGAAAAAAAGAGCCCCCAGAAGTGCCTGCGTACAAGCTCCATGTGACTCACTCTGTTAATAAAATATGTGGCTGGAACAAAACTCCTACATCTGGGAGGGAGTATGAGAAATCATGAAATCTGCAGGGGGCTGAAGAGATGGACCCGAGTGGGGTAAATGCAGTAAAACGTCACAGTACGATCAGAGGCACTCAGATGCCTTACCAGCAAGGTGAGGCTGCGACCTCGCCTCTCCCTGCACACTACGATACCACACAGCAACCAACGTCTACTGGCTGGTTTGGTGGGAAAAATGTTAAGGTCATATATTTGCATCTTTTGGTGAAATAAGACAGAAAGGGCCACATGCATTGCCTCGTCAGTAATGAGTCAAGCAACCTTTGTTTTTATTTTGTTGTCATGGAGATAGAGGCTCAGCAGTGGGAATTCTAGGAACATACCAGGGCGGTGGTCAGACGCCCTGGATCCATATGGATGTATATAAAAGAAAGTCAAACCACCTTCAGGTGCAAAGAGCCTAGCCCTGGGAATCACATGTTTTCTCTAGCAGCTAATTTAACGATGGGTAGGAAGCAATATCCTAGGGGGATTGAGTCCACGTGTATTTTAAACAAAACAACGTTAGGATTTTCACTAACTACATTCTTTCTATATGATTTCAATAAGAGAATAAAACAATTTCAAATGCTTAAGATATACAATAGGGAAAAGGGAACTGTTTTTTACTTAATCTGAGTTATGATTTTCCCATTAAAATCTATCTGCATTGAGTGGGGGGGGGCACAAAGAAATAACAATTATTTTTAAAAGTTTTGACTGTTCAGTTTAGGATAGCTCTGAAAACACAATTTAGTTTGAAATTCAAGCTGTTTCATTTCCTATTTAATCTTGTAAATTTCCTTCCCTTACAATACTCAGGTTGGAAGAGTGCCAGATTAGACCAGGAACAAATTTTCACCAACTTCACTTCAGTGCTTTATTTTTAGATTATATTAAAAACCTCATTAGGCTCCCTGAGGGAAAAGAGTGTTAACCACTAACAGAGGCAGGGGAAAATAAAGGAAACGGACAGACAAGCTGAATTGTTAACAAGGAAGGCTCTCTTAAAACAGTTGGTCTGAGGTCGATGTAACAGCTAAAGAAACTTATTACCAAGACCAGGTACATGACTTGAGCTGGAGCTTAATCTTTTACCCCATGGCTAGTAAGGACTAGTCAGGCTTGTCAAAGTGGCGTCTGTCTTTATTACGATTTCCAGATGAGATGTGGAAGGAAGAGGAGTGGGTGGAAGGGAAGTTAGAGAAATCTCTAAAGACGATAAGCTAAGAGCTCTGTGCCGGTGCACAACACCCATGTGTTTCAGAATCTCCCGCGGATAAGCTGGAAAATGGGTAGGCATGTGCAACACTGTGTGCAAGATTAAATGGAATGTTGAATGGAACTTTTAAAATTTATTAATGTATTTACATAATTTATAATCTTTAAGCAATGGTCTCATAAATACAGACTACAACTTTACATATGCTAAGCAACAGATACTTGTTTTTCCCCACTAAAATACTTGGGTTAAATAATTGACAGCATTTACATACTTTCTTTACTTTTTCTCTTCTTCTTTTTTTTAAACTCCACTAGTCAGTTTGGAACATATGCAATTCAATTTATTCCAGGCAGCTTCTCTACTATCACCATCTCGATCATGGGAGCTTATTTAAAAAGGTGCCAATAATGTGTCTGGAGACACATACATGACAGGGTCAGAAGCAAACCTAGAGTGAGCTAGGCACCTACTGTTACCATTGCTAATTTACTCTATGCATCCTAGGCTAATATAATTCAATGAAAAGTGCTTTAGAGATGGCAGAGATGAAATTGTTTCCACCAGTCCTATAAATAACCCATTTTAGTGTCAAATAATCGCCATCTCTCCACTTATGATATCCTACCACTTTTAAATGATACAACCCCCCTCTAACAGTGGTAACAGAAACCAAGGAAATTACAATCTCCACGAGGTTTTTTTTTCCCTCGACGACCACAAAAGTGCTAATCTTCCCTTTACAAATGTTACATAAAATCTTGATTACAAAACTACTCAACAATTTAATCCTACCATCCATACAATTATACATTCTTTTTCGGCAAGGTCAAAAGCCAATGATGTAGTCCCTTCGTACACCAGAAATTCTTTACATAACAGAAGTCTACAGACTGAAATACTGCTGCAGTCTTCAAAACTGGTCAATTTCTGTGAATCATTTTTGCATGAAGAAGGCTCAAGACCGGCTATGTGAAAACTGGTGGCAGGGACCCCAGCCCTCCTGTTAACTTTCAGGACCACCTACTTCATCACTGTCTGAGAACTCAGTCAACAGCAGCTTCGCTTTGGCTCTGAAGGCTGTCTTCGGAGTTTGAAGCCCTTACCGCCAGATGGCGGGTTGGCGTCAGTGGATGGAATTCTTCGACCTAACCAAGATGAGAGGAGGGAAGGGAATGATGAGCTTTCACTTTCCAAATCTGTTCATGCTCAGACACAACAATTTTGCAGATGCAATTTGAAAGGTTTCATTAAAGTAAAAAAAAAAAAGTTTGATAAACTTTTTACTTTGGAAAAATTTTAGATTTACAGAAAAGTTGCAAAGATGATATAAGAGAGTTCCTATGTACCTCTCTTCCAGTTTCCCTTAATGCTGACATAATACCATGGGACATTTGTCAAAATGAAGAATTCAACATTGCCACATCACTATTAACTTCAGACTTTTTTCAGGTATCACTGATTTTTCCACTAATGTCCTGTTTCTTGTTTCCGTCTCAGAATCCGAACAATGATATCACACAGCATTTTGCAAAAAAATTTTTAATTAAAAATGTTTTGAGTAGGTAAAACACGTTTAAAAACTTCAATCAGGACAAGCTTGTCCCTCTGTCTCATGGCAGAGGCCACCGTGGTGACCCATGTCTCATGCAGCCTTCCAGAGATAGATGTGCATAAACATTCACAGGTACCCTATTCTGCCTCCCCTTTCTTAAGCCCAAATGGGAGCAAACAGTATGCACTGTTCTCCACCTTGCTGTTTTCCCTGAATATATCTTGGGGATTGTTCCATCACAGCATATGGAGGCTGCTACTTTCTTTTTAATCGCTTTAAAATACTGCATTGTATGGATGTACCATAACTTATTTAACCAGTTCTCTATTGATGGATATTTAGTTTCCAATATTTTGATGTTATTAACAATGGTCCAGAAAGTATCTTTGTGAACCTATATGTGCTGGATAAATTACCAGGAGAGGAAGAGCTAGGTCATGCTTTCTACTCCTGGGTTTGTCTGATACATACACTGTATTCCCAGTGTCTGTATAGCATAAATGCAAGAAGAACGTGCAATTTAAATTTTGACAGATGCTGCCAAATTGCTTGCTGAAGAGGCTGTGCCACTTTATTCTCCTACCAACAATGCATGAGAATGAACAGGTTTCACTTTACTGCTCCATGAAGCATAATGTCAATTTCGAGAGAATCCTTAAATCACCCGTCCACCTACCTGACCAGTAATTCAAGGGTTGCTTCTTGTACAAAGGCACTCCTGATGTCCTCCCACTTCCTAGCTCTCTCCAATATCTCAGACACTAAAATCAATTAGGACACCAGAAGCATGCTACTACATATTTGTTTATGAATTAGACCCTAAGCTCTTCTAGGGAAGAGATCCTGTTTCTCCATCTTTGTGTTTCCAGTATCTTTTTAGCATAGTACCTGGCACAGAGATATTTTGTAAACATGGAATAAATGGACATATACATCTTTTGACATTAACGAGGGTAAGAAGGAATCTCTGCCAACTCTCAGGTCCTTGAACCCCCACCATTTCGAGCGGGCTACAAATTTGTGTGGGCAGTGCACAGCACGTTTGCTACGTCGACAAGAAAGTGTCCCCCAAGTATGTCCTACAACTGCTTTTCAAATGCCTATAAGACACTGTTGTGAATAAATTACACATTTATTTAAAAGCTTTACTGAAGCTTCTTGTCATTATTTATTTCTCAGTAAATGGATACTAAAATATACCTGGTATAATAGAGGCATTTGGGAAATGTGACATAAAAATTTTGGGTACAAATAACATTTGCAGAAGAAAGCAGACAAGAACAGCTTCATGAACTGGGAATAGGCAATGATTTCTTAAAAGCTACCAAAACCTTTATGGTAATCATAAAGGAAAATAAAGATAAACTGCATTATATTAAGATTAAAAACCTTAGTTCATTGAAGAAGTTGATTCAAAACTCAAAGCCATAGAGTAAAGAACTAGAAAACATTAAGAAGGCAGGTAACCCAAAAGGAAAACAGGCAAAAAAAGACATAAAAGGCATTTCACGAAAGAGGTTATCTAGATATTATATGAATGCAAATGAATCTCTAGAAAAGTGCTTGACTTTATTAACTGCCATGGAAACGCAGATCACAACCTCCTCACCAAAGACAGACAGTGATTGGGATTCTCACGCACCACTAGTGTGGGTGTCAACTAGGACAACCGCCACTTTTAAAACTGGTTGTCAGTAAAGTTGTACTGAATGCATGCATACCCAATGACCCGGCAATTCTTCTTGTGGGTATAAATATACCTAACGAAAGTGTGTACAGATGTTCACCAAAGAATATGACCAGGATGTTCAGAGCTGTATTACTTATCGTAACTCTAAACTGGAAACAGCTACCCAAATGCCTATCACAGCAGAATGGATAATTACACTGTAGATATTCTCTGCTTCCCCGGACCCCCGACTCTGACTCTGACACTGACACACACACACACACCAGCCATGAGAACGCATCACCTACAGCTATATGCAATGACATGGATTATCTAAAAATGTAATGCAGAACAAAAGAAGCCAGACACAAAAGAGGAAACAGTGTGTTTTAAAAAATATAAACTACAAATGCATGTAAAACCAAAACAGGCAACGCCAATCTGAAGAATTAGTAGTCACGATGGTGGTGAGTTACCCTTGGGGGTGCAGGAACTGTCGTGTCCCAACCTGAACGCCACGCATAGGAGTATATTCAATTTGTGAAAATTCACTGAGCTTTGTGCTTCCGACATGTGCACATCTCTGTGTATCTAGTATGCTCTGGTGCACAGCGTGCCAGGCACTGGGCTCGTGTAATTTTACGACATCCAGTCAACGATAAAGTCTATTTACATCTCTCCCAATTTTTCTAATCTTTGTGAACATATAGTTTTCATTTTTCACAGTTAAAATTAGTATTTACAAGACTAGTTTTTACGTAAGAATTTTCATTGTTGGTATACTTCACCACCTTCCTGTTTTTAATACTGCTATAGTAAAGAACACTTTAAAGGAAAAAAAAGATAATTTTAACATACTTAAGACATCACACACTTAGATATTCTAGCTTGAACTGTGAAAAATTCCCAACTGGCCTTATGTTGCCTTTCAAGAATGCATTTGGACTGATCAACACATAAGTGCACATATAATAATAACATTTATTGGAGGGGGGAGGGGGGAGGAGGGGATGGGTATATGCATACACAGAGTGTGATGAGCACCATCCGGGGGATGGACATGCTTGAAGCTCGGACTTGGGCAGTGGGGCCAAGGGCAACATATGTAACCTAAACATCTGTACCCCATAATACGCTGAAATAAAAAAAAAAAAATTAAAAAAAAAAAAAAGAATGCATTTGGGTACCTGCTATTTACATCGAGGACAACAACAAACATCATGACTTTTCAATGCTGAAATGAAGGAGCTGACATAGGGGGTGCAATCAGCAGTCTACTGGTGGCAAGTGGGCTCCTCAGGTCTACAAAGTACTCTGAAAATATTTGAATTATTGGCCAAATCTAAACATGGGATGTGTAAAAAAATCTGACAATAACTCCCAGCAATTAGGCAACCAGGGGCCCACATTCCAGACTGGCCCCAACTGCCGGAGCTGGGCCTGACCTGCCACCTGTCAGGGTCCCCAGGAGTCCCCCAGCCTGCTCTGCTCATGAGATGCCCCTGCCTGGCCTTGGTGGGCACTGGGCTTCATGCCCCTCCTGTGCACAACGGCCAAAAGCCCTTCCAGCTTCAGTCACCGTGGATCTCAACCCCACAGCGGACCTTCACGCGTGAGTCCATTGTGCCTCTCCCCCTCTGGAATTCTGATGCGAATCCGCACATCTCCGCGGGGCCTGCTCCCTCGGCTCTGAGAGCACCTCCTCAGAGAGGCCTTCCCCGATCACCTGCAGACATTCTTTCACCTCATCCTATAAATTATTTTCTTCATGACTTATTTTTATCTGAAATGATCCTATTTATTTGGTGTTCACTGCCTGCCTCCCTCCGTGGAATGTGCACTCCAGGAGAGAAAGGGCTACATCTATCTCTTCACGGCTGTCTCCCCTGAGCCTGGTACTGCTCCCAATAAATATTTTGATGAATCTGAATGAAATGAACAAACACGGACGCAATCTGCAGCGGATCCCAAAGGTATGGGCAGCCCTGCTCAGTCCAGTGCCGCCACATCAGCACCGCGGGGAGGGAAGGGAGGGTGGGAAACGAATTTTACCTTTCACTCGCCTGGTATTAATTTTTGAGGGTTTTCTTACAATGAAATTACACCTGCATTTCATTTCCTTTTATTTATTTTGTTCATTTTCGATGACCTTGGATGACTAATTGAAACACATTTAAATAGAGAAAAAGGGAGAGATGACAGCTTCCACGACCTCAGTGCCCCGTGCATTATTTATTCAGTGGCAACACTCTTTCTAGAAGGGCTATACTCATCAGGCAGCCGCTCTCCAGCAATTATAACATGATATGAAAGCTGCTTATTACTCTTACATTCTCAAATCTCTTTTCACTGAGGACAATTTCAGAGACTAGACTACACTAAGTAAGGTGGGAATTCTAACCAGGAAGATAATTCTGTTTTAAGATGCTCTGCACAGAGGAAACCGATAAGGAGCAGAGATACTCACTAATTTCTATAAAGAGTTCATTTATGTTTATCGCGTTTTTTGCGCTGGTCTCTACAAAAATTGCATGAATGGAGTCAGCGTAGTCCTTAGCATCTCTCTCCATGACTTCTCTGGAAGGCAACAATTGCAAATCAGAAATTCTACATATTAACATCTTAATGTCATCCCCTCCTACCCAGTAATTAGCCAGATTTATGATGACAAAGCGTGTCCTGAATGGTTGCTACATGAGTCCTGACGTGCGGTCCTCCCATTTATACCACTTCTGTGGTTAAACCATAGCAATGTAGCTAACGGAGTCATCAGGGAACGGCAGAGTTTTCTTTCCCCCTTAAATTAAAAAAAAAAAAGCCCTTGCTTTGGGAATCAGGGAAGTGGCCCAGGAAAACTGCCACTAAATGTGCTTTCTGAATTCAAGTATTCTATGTCACGGGAATTTGGGGGCCACATTGATCTCAGATAATGTCAAGTGTGATGTGACCAGTGTTTAAGTAAATTACACACCTGTCTATATATGTAATATAATTAGCTCCAAATGCCTGAAATCTTAATTGTAGTTTGAAACTTCAGGACTCCAACCACACAACCAAAAGGAATTTTTCAAGTCAGAGATAAAATACAAGATTCTTATATTGGATATTGTTCATTAAGAAAAGGAACACATAATTGGCATTGTAATTTCTTGTTCTGATAACTTACCTTACGTCGATAAGGTCACACTTATTTCCTGCAATAGCAACTACAATATTAGGTGGGCCATGCTGTCGAAGCTCTTTTACCCAATTCTTTAATGTTGAAAATGTCTCCTGTAACACAAAAAAGGAGAACTGGAGAGCTAAGCAACTAAGAGAGTTTTCAAAATAGTCTGAAGAAAACTATATATAGTCTTACTTCTTTTGTGATATCATAAACGATTATAGCTGCAGCCGACCCTCGATAGTACATTGGTGCTAAGGCACGAAACTGCAGAGGAGGGGGAAAAATAAACAACAAAATTGGGAAAACTGGTTAAATATGTTTTTACTAGACTTTTAAGCCATTATCCCTGCACAAAAGGTAATCTTTTTCTTAAGCCAAAGAAGATGACATGATGCTTTAAAGCAAATGAACCAGTAATTACCAAAGGCAAAAACTTTTAATGTAACACTGAAATGTCTCTCAGAAGATAGTTTAGAATACAGCTTTATAGGAATTAAATATGGGGCTATAAACAATTGTTTCAGCTAAAAAGGCTTTTTAATTGAACTCAATGTTATAATTCCCAAATTCATTTGTTCAACAGTCCTTTAAACTTTGGCTTCCCAAACAAACTATCATGGAAATAAAAATAATGCTGTAAATAGTTCTCCAGAGAAGTGGCTGCATTTGGGTGTCGTAAAGATAACCCTTGTAATCTAAATGCTGATTGTCCTTTAGAAATGAGCACACATTTACATTCACTACTTGGATGAGTTTGCAACTTGCTTTTCTGACATCTCCAGGCGCATGGCAATTCCCAAATGCTGGGTACAGATCTCACTTCATTTACATGAATTCAACTCTGTACTTAGAGTTTCTTCCCACCCACCACCTCCCCTCCTGGACACACACAACAGGTAGGGAGGGAGGAGGAAAAGGAGAGGAATAACCAGCTGAATAGCAAGGGTGACTGAGCAGGCCACTTCTCTAGATAAATGTGAGATGGAAAATATGAAGCTTTTCCCTTGGTTTCTGGGCACAGTTCCAGTGTGAGCATCTCACTCACCCAATATGAGCCAATGTTTAACGTAAGAATTTTGCCTACACTTGATCTACATATGATGTGATGCCACTGAGCTCACCTCCTCCTGCTTACCTCCAAACACAGGCAAGAATCGTCGCCACAGGGAGCATTTGGTGCACGCATATAATCCACATATAGAACGATGAATTCTGTAACTTCTTATCCAATGGGTTTAACCTTTTGGCTTTTAAGCTTTTATATTAATTTGAGTTTTACAAAAGGAAGTGAAATTACGACTGCAGCTCCATGAGGGAAGTCAGAATGCATGCTGAGCATGCCATTTTGTCTTGGGGCCCAGTACCTGGCACACCGTCGGTAACTGAGAACTGGTGAGCAAATGAGTAGGAGCTACATAAGCACGGGGGGATGTCAAACTAAGTGCCAGATCCAGATGTCCAGACACAGAAACTTTACTAGTCTTTGTGAGAGAAACCCCTGCCTGTGGGCTGAAAGCCTACTAATACTAACTTCCAATAAAATGATACGTTAAGTTTTAAAGAGAACAAAAATAAAGGTTGTAAGCAAGAAAGCACCACAGAAAAGGAAACTACATTATGAGGTAAAAAAGACTTAAAATGTTGAATTCTATAGCATAAGAGAAAATGAGACAGAAGCACTGATGGAACAAAGGTTATGGCATTAGCTTTCCTTTCTGATGTACTTATGTTGGCAATGTCCCTCACAGGTTGGTTTCTTTTTTCTTCTTTTTTCAAATTTGTAATGTAAAATTCACATGGAGAAAAGCAAAGATCTTAGGACAATCTGATAAACTGACAAATGTATACATCCATGTAAACACCATCGACCAAGATATAAAATATTTCGATCAACACAGAAAATTCCCTAAGATTTTTATCATGTCCTTTTTTAACCTTAATAATAACCCTTGTCTTCAAGTCTATTTTATTGATACTCATATAACCACAATGGATTTCTTTTGCTTATGATTTGCATAGAATATCCTTTTCCATTCTCTTATTTTCAATCTGTCTTCGTTTTCTTTGTTTTTATATTTAAGGTCATTCTCTTATAACAGGCATATACTTGGGTCCTGCTTTTTGATACAATCTGACAACCTCTGCCTTTTAAGTGGAATGTTTAGTTCTTTTATATATTTAATGTACTTCCTGGTATATTTGGGCTTAGGTCTACCATTTCATCAGTTTTATTTATTTTATTTTCATTAATTAATTAATTTTTAGAGACAAGGTTGCCCAGGCTGGAGTGCAGCGGCAAAATCATAGCTTATTGCAGCCGTGAATGCCTGGGCTCAAGCAATCTTCCTGCCTCAGCTTCCCAAGTAGCTGGGATCACAGGCATGTATCACCACTCCTGGCCAATTAAAAAAAAATTTTTTTAGAGACGGGGGTCTTGCTGTGTTGCCCAGGCTGGTGTGAAATTCCTGTCCTCGAGCAATCCTCCCCCCTCAGCCTCCCAAAGCGCTGGGAATATAGGCATGAGCCACTATGCCTGGCCCTGATTTGTTTTATATTTGTTTCGTTTTTTTTTAAAATTCCTCTGTTCCTCCTCTCCCTGCCCTTTTGCATTGATGGAATTTTTTCAGTATTCAATTTTAATATATTAATTCCTCCACTGGCTTTTTAGCTACCTTGTATTACTTTTTAAGTGGTTGCTCTTGTATCTACAATATATATTGTACATTTTTCTACAATCTACTTAGAAAATGTAACACTTCATGTAAAATATCAGAACTTCGCAAGAGTTTAATTTATCTAACCATCCTTTGTGCTGTCAAATATCTTATATCTATATACACTATAAACTGTACAATCCAGTGTTGTAATTTTTGAATTAAATAGCCAGTTATCTTAATAAGTTGAGGAAAAAAATAATAGATTTTCATATTTACTATTTCCAGTGGTTATTATTTCTTTCTACTGATCTCCGTTATCATCTGGTATCATTTCCCTTTAGCCTGAAAAACTTTCTGGGACTGCTACTGATGAATTCTCAGTTTTTGTTTTTATAAAAACGTCCTTACTTTGACTTCCTATTTTAAAAATAATTTTGGCAGGTTGACAGTTTTTTTGCTTTTAGCACTTTAAAGATAACAGTTCTAATGCTTCTGGCCTCCACTGTTTCTGTGAGGAGTTAACTGTTATTCACATTGTTGTTACCCTGTGTCTTTTATCTCTGGCCGCTTTCAAGATTTTCTCTTTATCTTTGGGTTTCAGCAGTTTGATTCTGATGTACCTAGATGTGGTTTTCTTTTCTACTTACAGGTTTCCTGGACTTCTTGGATTTGTAATTTAGTATGTTTCACCAAATTTGGGAAATTTTCAGCCATTATTTCTTAAAATGTCTTGTTTTCTGTTCCCACTTCCCTCTTTGCTCCTTCTGGGTCTCCAATTGCATGTGTTTAGACTGTATGAATTTGTCCCTGTGATATTAAGATTCTATTCATATTTTTCTACTCTTTTTCCCCCTGTTTTTCTGATTAATCTGTTCTATCACCCATCCGGTGAATTTTTCATCTTAGATATTGCAACTTTCAGTTTTAGCATTTCCATTTGATTCTTTATTAGTTTTCATTCTGTGTGAGATTTCCCATCTGTAGTTAAGTCATTAGGACTACTTTTCTTTAACTCTCTGAACATATTTAAAATATATACTTTAAGTTTTATGTCTGCAATTTCTGGTAACAGGGTCACTTTGGGGTTTGTTTCTACTCACTGGGTCATGTTTTCCTGCCTCATATGTGTAGTAATTCAGATCGCATGCTGGACAGTGCGGGTGACACACTGCAGACTCTGGGTTTTGTTTTCTTCTCTGCAGAGTGTTAAATTACTCGCAGACCATCTCGAGACTGGTTTTACATAGTGTTAGGGTGGGTCTATTTGGTTTTGCCCGTAGTCCCAGGATGTGGTCTCTACTCCTAAGGCATGGTCCTTTTGACGTTTCAATGCAATGCCCAAGGTGTTTAGCAATCCCCTCTAACATGGCAGGATTGGATTCAAACTCTGAAGTCTAGCTCTGTTGTAATGAGCAGCAGCTGAAACCTCTGCTCAGTCTTGTCACCCTTTCTGGCTGTTGGTTTCTGTTGGGTTTTATAATGTCTCTCCTGTGCATTCACAATTTGGGAGTCAATCCAAAGCCTGAGGGAAATTTATAAACAGATTTTGGGGTTTCCCTCCTTGTTGGATCCACCTTTTCTGGGATTTGCCTCCTCTTTTTCCAGCTGCTCTGGTAGTCCCAAACTCTGTCCTCAAACAATAACAGGCTAAAAAGACAGACTTTCTGCTTGAGTTCTAGCTGTCTTGTGCACACAGACTGAAAAGTGCCTACTGGGGAAAAGCTGTAAAAATGTGGATTTCACCCAATATAGCTCCTTTTTTCAATCCCTGACTGCATTTGGTTGCTTGTAGTGCCTTCAAACAGTTATTTTCAAATGTTTTGTCCAAAGTTTCTACATAATTGTTACCTGTGGGAGGGTTACTCTGGCATAAGCTACTCTGGCATTATTGACATCAAAGCTCGTTCCACGTTCTTTTGGTGTAAAGAAAGAAGGTGGAAGCACATAAAGAGACTCAAAAGATGTCAGTACATTTCTGCTCTGGTAGGACCTGGCTCTAGATTGGGGGTGGCAAACTTTTTCCGGTAAGGGCCAGGTAGTAAATACTTTGGCTTTGCGGGTCATATGATCTGTGTCACAACTACTGAACTCTACTGTTGTGGAGTGAAGGCAGCCATAGACAATATGTAAACAAATAAGCATGGCTATGTTTCACTAAAACTTTATATACAAAAACTAGCAGCAGGTTGGATTTGGCCTAAAAATATATTATAAAATCTGTGTTTGCAAATTCTAGTAACAGGGTCACTATGGGGTTTTCTTCTACCCATCGGGTCATGTTTTTGTGTTTCTCCGTATATGCAGTAATTCTGATTGTGTGTTGGACAGTGCGGATGACACACTGTGGACTCTGGTTTCTGCTACCATCGACCCCAGCTCTAGATGATACTGAGCCACTATCATTACTCCTGATTTTAAACATGAGAACAATTTCTTACATGACTACTCTGACAATCGAGTCTGTGCCTTCCTGGTGTCCTGACCTCTGTGGAAACAGTCATGAGGAGAAAGTACAATGAAGATGCAGAAATATAATCTTTAGGGACTATATGCAGTGTCTATTATCTTCTGGTTAAGAAGTTTTCTTTTATATCATCACATACAGATGGCAAGTATTTGAAAGGTTTTTGCTACATTTCTGGTATATTTATGATATGCATTTATGGTGCTTATTTATGTATATGCTGTGTGTCTCAATACTACTGCAGGAGTCTTTATTAGTGAAGGATAATGGGTGGAAAAAGATGACTTAGAATGAATTCATTTAGGACAGCAAATAATAGGGATAAAAAGGTCTCACAAAGGCTCTATCTTGAGAAGATAAATTTAAAATCATGAAAACAAGTTTCATCTTACCTGGTATTTGAAAAAACTTAGCCTTTTTACTATAGCCAGAAGCTAATTTTTTGGATGAACATTGAGTCAAAGCTCACTTCTGATAAAACTATATGCTAGCACAATACAAAATCCTTCATTTTGTGTTTGACTTTCACAGTCTTACCATAAAAACTTTTGCAAAAATATTTGAGGGCTCCATCAATTTTCCCTAGGCCCCTCTTAACCCTTTGATACACAAATCATTATCTTCTGAAGCACTTACATCATCATCCTGATCAGCATTTTTCCTCTTCATTTAATTTAACAAGATCGCTACTGTCAAGGGCTTTACATGACATTTGAGAAATTCTCCAAAATCACTTTCATTGACTTAATGAAATCACTTTGCAATCAGTTGTAACTGGACCATCAGAAGACAACCCATCTGTCAAAATGGTGTGCGGCCACAGATGTCGAATGGGGAGGATGTTTGAATGGTCAGTTCATCAAAAAAGCATTTTCATTTTATGATGACTTTTGGTTCCATAACAAATCTCATAACTACAGAGAACTAAGCAATAAACATGCAAACACCAGAAATTTATTATTTGAGTCATGCACTACGCACATGATGAGGGCAAGTAAAAGTAGGTAGAGGATCTGTCCTTATCTGTGCCTAAGTAGGGCTGGCAATCAGCTGACATAAATCCACTGGCATCAACACCATGTGCCAGGGGCTGAGAGCAGAGATATAAAGATAGTCCCTGCTCTCAAGGAGCTCACAATCTAATGGAAGGTAGACAAGTAAGGAAACAGGTGACAATCCCATGGATGAGGGCAATCGAAGACTGTTGAGGAAACAAAGGACTGCCCCTAGGATTTCACTTGCAGATTCACCCACCCAGTATCTACAGCAGGTGCTGTGCTAGCACTGGGAATCCAGCAGTGAGCACGACACTATAGTCCCAGCTCTGGAAGTTTATAGTCTGCAGTCTGGGGGTGGGGGACGGAGACTGTCAATGAAGGTAAGTTGGCAGATACCTAATTACAACTTGTATCGAGGGTTCTGAGGAAAACGAGTAAGGGCAGTGATGAAAATGAAATGGAGGCCCTGCTCAGGCACAGGGGGGTTAGGGAAAACTCCAAGAGTGTAGCATTTAACCTGAGGCCAAAGGGCTGGTAAGGGAGCCAGCGGGCCATGCTCTGAGTGGAGGGAAGAGAAAGTTCCAGGGAGAAGGAAGAATGTGTGTGAAGGCCCAGGTAAGGAGTGCTGGAGGATATGGACACAGAGGAGGGCCCAAGAGGGCAATGAGGAGAGAAGGTGGAGCAGGTCATGGGGGGCTCTGTAGGCCTCTGTTCAGAATGTGACTCTGGTGAGAGGAGCAGTAGGAAGTCACGGAACGGTGTTAAGCAGGAAGATAATAGGGTCTGCTTTATGTTTTCAAGAGGTTCCTCTGGGTCTTGTGAGGAGAAGTGTCATGGGTCAGGGCTGGGTGGAGGGAAAGCGGGAGGTCCAATTAGAAAGCTATGGGAATACTCGGTGGAAGTTAAAGGTGGCTGCGAGCAGGGTGCTGGGAGTGGAGACAGAGAAGTGAATGTATTTGAGACGTATTTAGAAAACACGGTTGTCAGACACCCTGCTGGAGCAAATGTGAAGGAATAAAGGTGAGCGAGGAATCCAAGGTAACCTCCAGATCCAGGCATGAGCAACATGGGCGTATGGCAAAGTGCTCACTCATCAGAGAGCAGCAGGGATGGTTAGGAAAACCTCCCTATACGTGACATCAGAGGTAGGTTTTAAAAGCTGAATAGTTTTCCAGGCAAAAGGTGGGAGCAAGGGCACAGGGGTGTGAAACTGTACGGCATGCCAGAGAACTACAAGCAGTTTGGTGCTAGAGGACAGACCGGTGGGAGGAGGTAAAAATGGAGTGTCTGGCCACAGTTGGCACATTCAGGGCCTTGAATGCCTTGCCCAGGACAAATGGGCAGTCTTTGACCCAGAACAGGCTCACAGATGTGTTTTGCACAATCCTCTCAGCATTTCAAACCATTTGTGATTAGCTGTCAGATGTTTAGCTTTTTGTAAGCACTGCCATCTGGCTACCCTGGACATGTGCTCTTGTCCAGCAACAACTGGCTGGAGCGAGTGCTTGCCAGGTGGTGCTCCTCTCCTGTCTCCCCAGTGCAGGGCCTCCTGGTCAGTGCCCCTGGCCTGTGGCCTGGCCCTAGGAACATCTCTGGGCTGCGTGATGATGCTTCAGGTGGGGTGGACGCAGCTTTGCCTCTCAGAGCAACTGCATCTCTAACTGTGAAACCTATTAGAAGTGGGCAAAACAAGAGACAGGCAAACTGGCTAATCACAAAACTTCACCGACTCTCACCATCATGCCAGCAGAAAGGGAGAGGCGTACTCTCTTGGGTGATCCTGTGTTCAAGTTCCAGAACAAAGAGATGTTATATATCACTGTGTATACCAGGATAGGCTGTGATTCAAAGCACAATGGAATCTATGTTATGGCATGTTTCTTTATGATGAGGGCTTTGCTGTTTCATCAAACATATGTGAGGGGGTAACTGAAACTTGGGATTCAGTGGAAGGTACATATTACTAGGAGGAAGAGCCAAATGAGTTTGTGGCTAATAGGACAGACTCCAGGGCTATGTCTACAGATATATTCAGGAGGACCCTGTGGTAAGCGACACTTCTGGAGGGCAGAAGAGGGCTGGCTGGTGAAGGTCTAGCTGTCCTAAATGCTCCATTCTAGATGCACAACACAAGCAAAGGAGAGAAGTGGGGGATGGAAGATAGTAGCTGAAGTATCTCAGATGAGTAACTGGACAGGGGCACAGCACCCAGCATTAAAAACAGGAGCAACCATGAAATCTGTACAAATGTATGGCGTTTATATCTAGGACAATGCTACTGGCTCATTTTGTTTCCCTCCATTTGTCTGTGATGATTCTTGTCAGATTTTAGACCATACACAGTATCTATGTTGTCTTAGATAAGACCATGATGACAGACTATTTTTCCTGATTACTTCTGGTATACTTTTAAGAGCTTAAGATAGCACTGTGCATCCATCAGCTGTGCTGTTTGGATAGTACTGTTTGAAAACAAAATTAAACGGCAGCTGAATAATGTGGGGTGGCTGTCAGAGGCACCTGGGTAGGGAAATCGGCCTTAGTACCCAGCAGGAAGATGAAGCAGCAGGCATGTGTCTGTCCCCTCCCCTGCCTTCCCGCCCCTTTCTGACTTTGGGAAGGCGTCCCCAAATCTCTTCAACACTGTGCTGCTATGGCCAGGCCCCACTTCTGATTCAGGCTCTTCTTTAAATGGATAAGCATCATGGTCAATGTTATCATCAGGCATTTATTAAGTATCTATTGCACTGTGTTAGCTCATCCTTTTCACTTAAATCTCAAACTTTATACACTGTAAAGTTCCCTCTTTAGCTTTTAAAAGGTGGCTATACATGAGTTATGCTTAATTCTCCCTTTCTACTAATTCTTTTATACATCCCTAACTAGAGGATGGAGCCCCAAAGTACACACAATGCTCTGAGTGGGATTTTATCAGGCCTGTCAGTCAGCACGTACTTTAAGACACTCCAAAGTATAAAAATGCCCTCAGTGCCCATTATTACTTTCTCCATCAGTGGATTTTGTGGCTCTAATTGAAAAGAAAAAGGCTGGCCTATGCAAATGGAAATAAATGTGTCTCCAGCGCACAGAAGAGAAGTGAGTAACGTGAGATGACAGGGACATTGACAGTTTAGTTGGAGCTTTCACTTGGGTCTCAGAAAAACAGAGTAAATTAAAGAGTGACTTACTCGTTCTTGTCCAGCTGTATCCCAGATTAGGAATTTATGTAGCTCATTTTGGTACTGGACAGTCTTGGTCATAAAAGATGCCCTATAAAGAGAGACCTAAATAATCAGAATACAATTATGTAAAGCACGTTTCCAGCCCCAGTCGGAAACATCACTTAGACTTAATGCTCAAACTCCCCGCTCCACACTAAATCCTAATCGTGTTCCTCTCTGGAGTATTTACGGGACACTCAGATGCTGGGTACATATTCTCTGTCAAAATAAAGCAGTAGGCACATCTGCCCAACACAAAGAAGGAAGAGTTCTTGGGCTTTTGATTGTCTAAGTTCCATATCAAAAGAACCAAGAGACAATTTGGCAATCCAGACATGAGTCTCCCTTGTAAAACACAGAAGCTGTTATTTAAAACGATGTTATTGTGGGAAAACTTTCTGAAAAAGCAGGGTGTCCAAGAAATGTGTGCACTAGTTAAAAAAAAAAAATTAGGCCACTTGGGTTTGTTCTCCAATTCCCAAACCATACGCCCACATAAATAGCTGAGTGAGAACAAGTGTTAATACCAGAGTTAATAAAATTAAGATGCCAAACAAGCACGAAGACAGTTGGAGAAGTAACAGCTACAACAAAGTGACCTGATTCATTATCAGCACCCCCGATGACCACCTGTGTTTCCTTGACAAAATGAGCTTCTCAGTGAGGTTCAACATTAGCCCTCAGGGCCTCATCCAACCCTTGATGGGGAATGAATCATGGTTTGCAGGTCACACCACTTACTCTAAGAGCCACTCTGACCGGGGGCTTCGATGGCAGGGTTCCTATTACTTTGGGGGTTCCATATGTTTTGGAGGATCTCAAGCTGGACCTCAGCTGCATATTCTGAGGAGCCACAGTGGCCCAGAGCACATGCCTGGACACTTTGGGGGCTCTAGGACACAGGTTCAGGAGTTCTGTCCTGGGCCTGGCTCCAATACTACCTTCCATTTCCCACCTCGCCTACAGGGCAGCCTCCCAGGAAGTCTTTAGTCTCCCAGTCTCCTCAGTGCATCCCAGTCTGGCTTGCAGAAAGCAGAAGATGACCATGTCTTCTTTTCTACTGAATAATAAGTCTTCTGGGGCCAAGGGCCAAGTTGTACCCTAATCACCCCAATCAGCATAATGAACTCAATGGGTGGCATTTTCATATATGCTGAGAGCTCAAAATATTTTTCTTGAGATTCAAGTCATGGATAATCTTTAAGAAAGTGCAAGTTAAAATACAATGACTTTCTGACAAATCACTGAACTTAGACAAGTACCAGAATCCTGAGTTTTAAAAATTTCAACTCTGATACAATGAATTCCTGGCAGTATTTATATAAATTTATGGCATAGCAAGTAGCCTCCAAAATAGTGACTGCAATGAAGAAGGCAAAAGTGAATTAGGAGGCAGGATCATATTTACTGGATATTTATGTACTGAAAACTTACCCCTTGGTATCCTTAGTAAAGTGCTTTGTGCATAGAAGGTACTCGATAAATGGTTATTGTATCAAGAACTTTTGGTGACTCACCATGATTAAATCAGGATGTGCAACATGATTTCTCACTTAGGAAAGATCTAAGCATTCAAAAAGCATTGTTTATTGTGAAGATTAAATGAGATGATGTACGTGAAAGTGCTTTGTAAATTGTAAAGTACTATATCTATACAAGGTATTATTATTATTATTTAAAGGCAGCTCCAGGAAATGTTTCAGTTTAGACTTTGCAATTAGTCCTAAAAGCTTGCAACTCAACCCTCCATCAATTATGGCTGTGGTGTTACATTTAAGAGTGACAACAGGCATCCAACAGAAGCCTATTAGCAGAGCCAACACATCCAACACATCCATTTTGGCTGCTCAAAGGACAAGAGAAGAAATATGCTTCAAGCAGACAAAAAGCTGAGAAAGGTGTATGCAATAATTAAAAGGAAATGTTTCATTATAGGATCAGAATTCACTAAAGTTCAACCTACCTGTCAACCATTTGCCTTTAATGAAAACATTACTTATTACTGACTTATTACTGAGTCAGGAGAAAGATAGCTGGCAACTGTGATGTAATGAAAGTGCCTTAAAAGATTAAACCCAACTCCCTGTCTCTGGCCCTGGACCATCCTTCCAGCTCTCCCCCATCATCACTCTCACCATGCCTCCTTCCTGCCTACCATGAGGTTTTCCTGGGTCTACGTCCATGTCTGTTGGCTTCTTGTCCTTTTAACGCCAGCATCACTTGTCAACAATGCCGATTCTTTAGCATCTTACCTGTCTTCTCTAAACCACTCAGACAAGCCCCAACAGCCTCTATACCTGCTACCTTCACCCAATGGTAGGGCAGTGGCCTTGCTGGAGGAAAGCCACATAGCCATGTGGACCACCATGGAGATTCTACCCTATGTCAGCTGGGTCTGCCTCTTGGGCCTTCTCCCATCTCACACAGCAATTAGGCCCTATTCTCATGCCTCCTTTCCATCTCTCTACCACTTCCTGCTACCCTCTTCTTCAGGACCACAGCTTGTTTCAGCCTTCTCAGAGAAAACAGAGGTTTATAAGCCCTAAGACTCCCAATAAGCTCCCCAGTCAATACTCCTAGCTTGAAAGCAGACAAATTTCTATTCACGCTAGCTGTTATTTCCACTTTTTTGACTCTGGCTGAGTCAGAGATGTCTCTTCTTTGGCTCATGTATCACTGCTGCCCTGGTTCATGACCCCAACACATCCTGCATGAGCCACTGCAGTCATTAAAGCTGGTCTCTTCCTCCCGGGCTCAAATCCTGTGTCTACCTTCCCATTGACCACTCCTTTTCCTTGAATGCTTTCCCACTGGCTCTCCCGCAGCCAGATGCTTCTTACCATTCAGGTCTCAGCTCAAGTGTCAATGATCCAGACGCCTGTGCCATCCACCCAAACCGGGCAGTCTCCTGCCCAACTCCGTTTCCTAACACATCAGAGCACCTACCACAATGTCTGATTAGCTATATGTTTTTTTTTTTTAATTTTAAATTCCCCTGTTCAATGTCTAATTCACTCATGAGAACTGTAAGTTCCATGAGGGTAGGGACCATGCCCTAGCTCTTCCTCTGTAATAGGGATATCTTCTTCATCTTCCTCCTCCTTGCTATCCTAGAACTCTAACAAAACATTTATCATGGTATGCACAAGCTACTTAGCTGCCTATTACTCCAGCAGTTCTAGGGAGTCTTGGCCAAGCACTTCCTGAAGCAGAAGGTGAGTAGCACCACTACAGTGCGGAGAAAGAGGTGAGATGAAAGCAGACTTTTGCTCTTTATCTGCAGCAAGAGGTGTGGCCTCTTGGGCTCCAGGCAAGTAGTTTAAGTAGCACAGGGCTGACTATGGCCAGGGAATGTCTTTCCTGCCTTCTGCTCAGCCATCAGCTCCAACTCCTACCCTAGCCAAGAGGCAATAAGCAAAACCCAGGAGTTGCAGCAAAGAGCCACTGTGTCCCTCCACCACTCAGGCCTCTGGAATTCTGCTAAGAAAGAAGTCATGGCACTTTACGTAGTGTCTCTCTGCCACTTACTCATGTTTGAATCAGGAGCTCTTTCCCACCTCCAAGTCCCAGCTCAGGTGGCTATGGTGAGATGACCAACCTCTCTCACCTCTCCTCTCCCGAGCCCCACAATGTTTCTTTATAGCAATGGGCATCTCTGTTGATTTTTGAGATTGAAATCTTGGGTAAGAACCATTTCCTTTCCCTCAGCATCTGGATTTGGCCCTTTTCTGTAGCTGGACTCGGGGTTAGGCTCAGGAGGGGTGCTGCCTGTTGTCTGGCCCTGGGCAGAAGGCCTCTTGCAGGACTCAACCATGAATTTCTTCCTGTGGCTTCAGGTCTTCGTCTGTTGAGGACAGCACTTTTCTAAATCTGATTGATTTTAGTTTAACTATGCAATCTAGATACTTCATTACCATCTCACACTTAAGATGGTGACAACAGGGCTTATTCCCACTCCACCTCCACAATCGTCCCAAATTCCAAATTCTCAATCATAGAACATTATGTCTCCCTTCCATAGAACAGAAACCAGCCTGCAACTATTCATTGTCCTTTGTTACTTGCATCCAATTTTGTAGGAGAGCTGTCTGGTTCTTTATTTTATATTTAATCTACACTTGAACCTCAACCACTGAGATAAATTCATAAACTGGACCCTAATCTCTGAGTGGGACTACTATTTTTCCCTCCCATTGTCACTCCAACTCCAGGATCACTCCTTTAACGCTGAAGTTAAATGATGCGGAGGGTATGATAACTTCAATATCTTGCTTTTTGAAAAACAGGCAATGCCTCCCTGCCATTCGAATGATACATTTTTATTTTCCAGCCTGCCATTTACTTGTCTGATAACCTTATTTTTCACTACTAAACTGTCTCTCTTCACTCTGCCTAGGCAGATCTTATTACCTCTTTAATCTAAAATCCCTACTAGCATTATTTCCTAAAGCTAGAATGCCTTTCATATACTTCTCCATTTTTCATGACATTCTAAAAATACGACTTTCATGCACACCAAATAGTCACAATCTTTGGTCAGAGTACGTGTTTCCAATGAAAATACTTGCTACTAGGTGTTTTAAAAATTTCTTTTCTTTAACTGCAATAGACTTGTTTGGCTCTCTTGGAATATAGATGTGCTCTGACATTGCATTCAAGTACCTCTCGTTACCGCACATTCTTTTCACTGCACGGCACATGGAATGCTGTCATCTCCATAATGGTATATAGTGCCTTTTCAGGATGAACAATTCAGTTCATTTTAAAATTAACAAAGGACCATAACTGCTAAACACTCTAAATCTCATGCAAACAACACTTGGATCTCTAGTTTATATACACTGATAGAAATACAGCTGAATACCAAGATCAAGACATAAAAAGACCAAAGGTATGAAACATCTGCTAGTTCCTGTAACAGAGATACCAACGGGCCTGCAGGAAGGTTTAGAATGGTGCCAGGAACTTGACACTTGCTCACTGAGGGTTAGCTGAACATAAGGGTACATGTGTCTTTTGTTAGAGTAGCAGCAAGAAGCCAGACGTCTC